CTCCTTTATTTCATATGAGGGCAGGAGGACGTAGCTATTGAAGAGATCTGAGTAGTAATCGTAAATGATTTTCTCTATTGCCTTTCGAGAAGCTGTGGCTGTTCCGTCTGTTTATCGGAGTTTCATAAATTTCTGTGAGATCTGCAAACGCTCTTTGTAGCCACAGAGAAATCGGATATTCTAAAATATTTGGGAAAGGATACTGCAAGAACTACTGATGTTAATCTCTTCCAGCTATGATATATTTCAAGACCACAGCAGCGTTTTTTATGAAAGGTACTCTCAATTTATCAACTTTGCTAAGCTTTGGAATTTCGTAGTATATCGACACTCAAAAGCGGATGTTAACAAAGTAGACCACATTTTTTGTGATGAAATCGCGATGTTCTTCAGAGGTTATCCAACTACTGAAACTACTGTTGTACACTTCTTTTTGAGTATTGAAATGAAAAGAGCTGTAAGCTTTTCTCACACTTCAAGAGCCTCAGCATCCAGAGCACGTTTTCCTTATGGCACTTCATTAAGGGATAAAGTTGTGTAATTACACCATCACATTGTCACCATCTGCTAAGTATTCACTTAATATTCTTTAAAAAATCAAAGGTTTCGTGAAGTTACAGATGGTTTAGATAGAAACTTTGTACAACGCTTGTAATAATCAGCTGTGAAATGAGTTCTCTACTGCTGATTTGAGAATTTTTCACACGACTCTACCTCTAATAAACCATTCAGAAACAGAATTTTACATTTCCACTGGTGTGTGTATATGTGAACTTCCTCTAATTGAGATAAGGTAAGGTCTAATTTTTTGTGTTCTATAGAAAAAAAACCGAGTTATAAATAAGAGCAAATATTCTTGGGAACTCAGCATTCTTTCCCATTTATAGACTTTACTTTCGGGATTGTCACTTTAATTGACATCCAACTTGTTTGTATTAAGTCCGCTTCAGGAACCTCGACATTACCCGATAGGGTTTAATAACATGAAAATACGGACGTACTACTTCACTTCAAGTTTTTGATTTGTATTTTCAATTTAAAAGGCATCCACCGCTTAAGATCGCGGGCTTTGAAATGGTCATTTATATTCTTGCGATACCAACCAATAGCTGAGATACAGCGCTAATCCGATCTTTCGAAGAGGATAAGTTACAATTTGCCTCAATTCCATTAGGATACTGTCGCGTGCCAATCAGTATACAATGGGGAATTGCAGTTAACGATTCATCCCTATCCAATTCCGTCCATGAATACCACCAATTGACGTCAACAAGTACATTCTTCAGAATTCGACTAGAGCTTTTCAAAAAGCTTCTGTAAGCTTCAATAATGATAAAGGCCCACAATTTTACAATATCTTCATAGTAAACATATGTAAAGCCCTTGAGTAATGAAATACCACTTTTTTAAATCCAATGTACGTCAGAATGGGTGAGCTTGAAACAGTGACTGGAGGTGCCTCGAAATGCAAACATTGTTGTCAATTGCTCGATCTCTGCTATGAGACAGCCAGGAATTTCTTGGAGAATAATTTTCTTTAGTTTTTGAGTTTCCATAAACCAATTTTCGAGACGGTCCAAATTGACTGGATTCCATTTTTGAAGAAAATTGATGGCATTGCATTCTGAGATTTCAGGTATGACGTTTTCAAAAAACAAGTCATCATCTGTTTGATAACTATATCGCTAGCAAAAAGACTTTTTGTGCATCATTCACATAAACCCTACTATCTATGACGAAGCAACTTAAGCGGCGAATTACAATTTTTGTGAGTGACGTTCTATTCTTACCTTTTCCGACAGGATAATACTATGTATCTACAGCTAGCTTCAAGAAAGGTGCCAAATGTGCTACGATTACTTATAAGCAGTTGTTCAGGCTCTATATACATGCGAGTTGTTTTTCGAACTTCAATGACTCGCAATATCAAGATGCAAATCTACGAATGAAATTGCGGCATAGACTGTTTAACACCTTTTCGTCACCAATAGAAGCGTTACTTATCTTTACGATGATCCGAATAATATTTGCCAAATGGATTTGTGCTCATTTCCCACAAAGACGCTAGGAGAGTATCCAGAGGGTATACTAAGAGTCTATGCTTGCATTCCACCTAGGGCGACCGCATGATCGTCGCTGAGAAACCATTTCATTAAGGCGGATACACGCAACGCATGTGGTGATATCCACCAGATACAAAAACTTCGATTCATGACATCATGACTGATATGCCTCAATAATTACGCGTAAATAATGTATTCCATAGAATGCAAGTCATAATGAGGATAGTTAGTGGTGTGATTCATTAATGTTGGAAATTTTCCACTCACCATTCATGGATGAAATCGGTGTTCGCAAAATGTTATGTTTAAAGCTGCCAAACGACTTTAATCAATCAAATGATCAGTTAAAGATATATCATCCGACTAAATAACTAAATCGAGAAATACATGGCAACTTGTTACAACGACTGGTAAAGGTGCCACGTTTTTTGTGTGTCAGCGTTAACTGCCTTAAAAGCTTCCCCTGCACACTCTGTTCTGCTGTCAATGTTGCTTGCTGCTCGGTTCAAGTTAAATGAGCCACTAACGAGTAGGAGGTAAATGTCCTAACGGAAAACGGTTAAGTTGGTACGTGTACAACTTTCATTCTTTCGCCTTTGATTAACAATCGAGTAACTAAGTATGGGTAGCAATGCACTATTGCTATAAAAATCGAATCAACAGTATTTGTTTTCGGCTCAAGTACTCAGACAATTATGTTGGATAACGATCATTCTCATTACTGTTCCCACCGTGGCGATAATCTGCGTAACTAAGTACCGTATTAATTACAACCACCTTGATTATTACCAAGAAGTAAACACCAGTTAGAATTCGGTCAGTGGGCATTCACTAAAGTGTCTTGTAGCTGCGCCTGAATTTAAATTAGTTTAAGTTCGGCCTAGACTTTCCAACTATGTCAGAAACAACTAAGTGATTTTTCAGCTAATCTACATTTCAACTTCCCGCTAAAAGAGAAGGAAGTGTAGACAGTAGATGGAATTCGAAACTATGTGTTTTCTACTTAACTTTCTAGAGTTTTTGGAGAGATGTGTTGAGAATGGTTGGTAAGGTAGAGTTTTGGGGCACAACTGGTTCAACCTTCGCAGCGCTAGTTGTGCACCTTGCGTCGAGTGTTGCTGTGCAACTCGGTAAAACATTTCTATCGACCCAACCTGGCCACATATTCGGAAATTTTTGAAGCGATTCTTCAATTTCGTGACGACGGTACTTCTCTGTTACAGCTGATCAGCCAAAATTTGAGAAATTGCGGTGGGCTAGCTCTACTGCAGACCAAGTCACCATAACCGTGTACATTCGGCTATGGAAAGCATTTAGACACCTTGTTTCCTGCAGTCGCTAATATCCGATGTTCATCGCACAAAAAATTGGCCATTTTATTTGCATAAAACAAAAACCGAGTAGACTTCGTAACAACGATTTCTTTACTCCTTCTTCAAGTTTTGTGACATTCGTTCATTTAGGTCTTTCATCTTTCCAATGTGTTTCAAATTATGAACGACCAAGAAAATTTTAAAAGTGAGTTCTGGAGAGTATCGAGTTGTTTTGAAATGCCCAGCCTCAATCACCATCTTAGGCTCTGGAGTCATTTCAGTCAACCTTAAATCGTCGAAAATTAGATGTTAGAAAAAGCACTATACAATGAACAGTTAAGAAAAAATAAACCTTAAAACGGTCCGGATTAGTAGTGTGTATAATGAATATTTATTGGAAAATTTGCCTGTAAGTTTCCTAAAGACAGAAATAGAAATTCTTCCCGACCTGCTTATAGTAAAAATATTAGTACATTAGTACAATAACAGAAGTAATATTAAAAACGCAAACAAAAGTACTACTAGCACTAGTACTAGTAGTAGTAATAATAGCAGAAATTGTAAGAATCTCTCAGCCTTAACGGTTTTTATTCGATTTTTAATTCTGGATTTTATGTTGATCAAATCCACTGTTAGCTGGTCAAGTTTTGGTTTCACAAGACATATTTTATCATAATATAAGGTCTTTGAGCCTACTATGCCGCACACTTTATAAGAAGTTATATAGTACACAAAATCTGCTCTTTGTTCCTGATACTAATATTTAAGTATCACGTTAAATTTTGTTCCATTCAGGGAAGAACGATGCACCGGATATGACTTCCTAAAACTTTTAAGCTTGTGTGTTGTTTTTAGTGGTGCATATAAAACATGAGAACAACCAATTTCTGCATCTGGGGAGGCATGGTGTAACCAATTTAGGGGCAGTGGGCCACTTTTCTCACTTGAACAAAGTGGATTATATCCAGCTGATTGGGTACTGCATTTGAATGCTCACGCTTCGATTGGTTCTTCTCGCAATAATAAGACCTCCAATTCTACACGCTTCAACGGTAGAACATACTCATTGCTAGATTTGATAGAAAATCTTTATAGCTCTACATTAACAACAGTATATTGCTATGCCGTTATCTAAATAGAACTAGTAGGAACTCTTTGGAAAATACATAAGGCCACTGACCTCCAGAGAATCTGAAATTCGAGCAACCGATAGTTTTTGAGTGCCAGATCAGTTAATTGTCGTAGCTGCAACAAAATTCTAAGTGTCTTTGTTTTTGTGCAGAAATGCGCCAATGGCGAAAATGCAATCATCGCCGTCGGTGCGCATGAACGCCAGCCCACCTACCGTAAGCCGAGCCGATCTCCGCCTAGCCCCGCCCACGTATCATGTTTGCCAGCGAACAGCGTCTCACAAAGAAACAGGCGCGACGACTGCTGATTCTTCTTACTTTGCATTTCTTGTTTTCCTAGCAACAAGTGTCACTCTATTGCTTTACACCAAGTTGTTATCAGTTTCCGTCCAACTTATTTTCAATTTTCTTTTTTTTCCTTTATTATGACCACTTTTCGTTTGAGACAGTTTGAAGAGCAAGAAAATATTGTTCAATTCTTCATAATGATTTAGATGAACGAAATATCGTTACTTTATCCGTCATGTATACCGGTTGATTCATCGTTGAAGTTAATTGATGACGATGAAACGGCTTCGGTTTCATCTGGTGTTTCGCCTGCACCATCGGCACAAGATTCAAAGTCACCAACAGACAATCATGTGAAGCGTCCTATGAACGCGTTTATGGTGTGGAGCAGAGGGCAGCGACGAAAAATGGCACAGGTTTGTCACTTACAAAGTCAAAGGAAAAGTAGTACGAGAAGAGAAGACATTTTTCCTACAAAGACACCTCACAGTTTAGCTGATAGGTCGCTCTGCGCTTGCAATAAATGCTGAATGCTGCCATTTAGGACAATCCAAAGATGCATAACTCGGAAATCAGCAAGAGACTTGGAGCCGAATGGAAACAGCTATCAGACAAGGACAAACGCCCATTCATCGACGAAGCAAAGAGGTTGCGTTCAATTCATATGAAGGTAAGCTTAGTGTAGACCCAGTCAATCATAATAAACGCACCTCTAATATTTTAAATATAGTAAAGAAACTGCGCCTTCTTGACAACTAACGGCTGAACAAAAGCGACTTTTTCGCCTGATCCATAAGTCCATTTAAATATTTTTTGAAGTAATTAGGCCTCTCGTGTCAGGAAGCTATGTTTTTTTTTCCACCTTTACAATATCCGAACATTATTAATTGCCGTTTACGGTGTTTACTACAAAAACACTAAAACGGAAAATTCTTTCAGGAGCATCCAGACTACAAGTACCGTCCAAGGCGCAAACCGAAGTCAGTAATGAAGACGGGACCAAGTCGACTACCGTTGGGCATTTCTCTTCCTCCGTTCGCAACACAGGCACTATTTGCTGCCAATTACAGTCATCTGGAGGGTGTCAAGGCTCCCGACTTCACTAATTATTACTCGTCATTCTTTCCTAATACTGTGCTACCTGCGTCCTACTCACCGTACGACGTGATGGCTGCATACGCTCGACAAGCAGCAGCAGTCGCAGCTGCGTCCCAGGCACCCCGCCCAACGGCCAACTCACTGTCGCAGACCTGAAAAGTCTGAACACCCGGTGCGCTGCTTATTCATATTCTATTTGTAGATATCCTCTTTACAGTTTGTGTAAATCTGAAGAAAAGTCTTATCCGCTGGTAATACATAAAAAAGAGGAATGTTGTAGAGAGATTTTCGTCTTGCACATTTCAAGCAGAAATAGTTGGCGTTGTTTCATATGTAGCGAGAACACTACATTTTGAGAAAAACTTCTTGAAACCGTTTTTTATGCAATCGGCAATACCCAGTCCTTTTCCTGAAACCGAGCGCAAGGACCCATTGTTCCTTTATTTACCTACTTCGATCTGGAATTTCCATGCGGTTTTGCACCGACAATACCCCACTGTTCCACCAATTTCGATAGCCACTCTTCCGCACTTTGTCTCACTACATGCAGGACGTTCACACATGTGTGCACAAACAAGCATACACTTATATATACACACATACATGCATACCTATATATGTACATATATATGTACTTACATACGTACATACATACATGTATACATACGTACATACATACATACACACATACATGCATACAGCATACATACATACTACATGCATACGTAGAAACACAGATAAATATACATACATATACATACCAACATCCATCCATAAATACGTGCATACATTTCATACCTACATACATGAATACATACGCAATGACACACACATTCACACACACACACACACACGCACACATAAGCACATATATATGCACATACACAGCATGCATAAGTTCATATACATGAAAGTATATGTGCATGTATATGCCCAAACACTCGTATTTTCTTAACTAAATGCGCAATCCGACAGGTGTAAGAACACGACTGAAAACCATAGTAAGGGGATGTGCATAGTTTTATTAGACTACTTTCCCGATAATTCTTTAAATTTTGATGTGTTTGTCATTTTTGTGAACCAGTTAATACTTTGTGTGCCAACCTGATGGCAACTGGATAATATAGAACAATATGTCTGTTGAGTATAGAGGACCCTGGCTTACGGTGTTTTAGATGGAAAAGGGAAAAAGCTGTATTTTTTCCACTTTGAGTGTCCCATGGATCCGTATTTTTTCCGCTTTTAACGCTATCGAATTTATATGAACCTGTTAGCTACCTTTTAGAAATTAGGAGCAGTTAGAAATAGGATGCTTTAAGGTACGTCTGTCTATCGTCAATGATGTCCCTTTAGCGAATCTCGTACGTCTGCCACGTGTCGACGTAGCCAGCAAACTCAGCTTTCTGTACGAGTTCTCACATTATCTACGCTCTTTTGCTGTCTCTCTCGCGGCTGTTTTCCGGTCACGGCAATTCCATTGTGCAGTGCGTCCCATTTCTTTGTATGTAAACATAAATAAGGAATATCTATGTGTATGTCTGCTTAGTGTGGCTGTGGCAGTTGCGAAGGTCGCCTTCGCCACCGACGCCTCCTACCCGACACATACTCCGGCCGCCCTTCTATTTCGTGTGTGATTCTCGAGATTATTGTTTGCTATGTGAATAAACGCTATTGAATTGTGGAGGGAGATTCTGGAAACGGCGAAACGGAAACGAAACGAAAAGTTAGGGCTCGTTTGTAGCCCAGTCCCAAAACAAACACCGGAATTGTTTATTCTGCAAGTATGGACAAAATTGGAACTGGTGCAAATACATACGTTTACCGTCGTATTAAAAATTGGCTTTGTTCTAACCGCAAAAACAACATCTCACATTACTCAAGCCAGTTCAGTTAACTCCCACTGTTAACTGCCAGCTACATCTCTGTTGTTTTAGGTCATAATGTTTGGTCTCTTTTTATATTTTAACGGTAACCGGTTACTTTAGAAGATTCAATGTAAAGTATTCTGATTGGGATCATCACATTTCCGTAGACGTGAAGGAGTGCTCTTGTATTCCTATAGAAGAATTGAACATTGAAAGCAGTGCATTTAGAAATTTTTTTCATCTCTTCCATTTGCACTGTGCTTAACTACAGCAATGCTCTGATCAAACATTTTTTAAGTAGAGCCTCACTTCATCCGTTCACTTCATCCACTCCTCTCAAGGCTGCCGATCCTCTATAGTTGCCAGTCATCCCTCGCCACCATTCTTTACACTCGCACATGCCGATTATAACTCAATTTGTTCAGTTCTGGCAATTGCTGCTTCGTCATTGTGAGTTCATTCAAGGCCGCTTTTGTTCAGCGCCCCCAGTGAGCATCTCACAATACACGGAAGGAGAACCAGAAAAAATTAGCAAAATATCGATCGACACAATACCGTTACTCACATAACTTGTTCGGCTTGTTTGTCATTGAACACCATGAGGTGTCGTTTTCGCTCAAATTCTCATTTTTTATGTTTTAAAAGGTGTGGTCATGGTTTAAATTCTAGCTGAAAACGCTACAGCTTCGTTCCTTAATACAGTAGTTATCATACTTTAAAGCGTAATGTTTGGCCGTTTTGCATATACAGAATAGAGCAGAACACCCAACTAACATAAGGTGATTTCACTTAATCTAATCTTCTAGAGAGTTGTCTGGTAGGAGATAGATATACTGGTTTCTCAATAGCTTCGTTATAAGGTAGACAACTTACTGTCGACAGTGTGTTATTTTTCTTATTGTTATTACAGTTGTTTACAGGCAGAACCTCTTCCCTTGAGATTATACTCAAAACTATATTGATGATTGGGAGCTCCAATTTGCTGTGAGGAAGTCAAACAACGGAATCGAAAGCGCATCAATTGCGTAATGACAGTCTTACGCAGTAGGTAGTCGAATGACCAGGTCGGACAAATCCGAACAGCGGCACCGTTTTGATTTGTTACAATCTGCAAACACTACTTGACATACAACTTTTAATGTATGGTTGTGCTGGATTACTAACCTTTGATCTTAACTAACGCTTTCTAATGTTGGTGTACTTTTGAGTAAATTATGATGTCACTGACTTCTATTTAGACCATTACGGCGATACGTCGTCTTGACCAGAGCAGCGATTCTGTTATGAATATGCTTAAGAACTCGGTTATGCATTTGCATTATCCATTTTTTAAGCACCGGATAGTCAAAATGCATGGACTACCATCGGGAAATTTCTATGGACAAAAACCTTTATAGTGTTTTCAGATTACAAGGTTGTTATTGTCGCCACTTGTGGGAATTGAGCTAATGAAAACGAGGAGCCGAAGAGGCGAATAGCTGGTAGATCTGTAATATGTAAACAAAGGGGTTCTGTTTTTGCAGTCTACTTGACACTTTACTGGAACCTGAAATATTCAAATGTAATGTAACCAGTGTACCCGTACTTAGATAACCTATTACGAGGTTGTTTCAAGATAACCGATAAAAATACGGAGTAGACAGGCGTACTGCCACAGATATCTAGTCATTACGTTAAGATATCCAATCATTTGAAGTGTAATTTATACAGTGTATACAGTTTTATACAGTGTAATAGCAACTGTAGCCTACAATGTTTATGGTGTTTACTAAAAAAGACTAAGAATATTGGGCAAAAGAGTTAGTAGATCAGCAACTATTTAAGTAAACAAATTTGACATGTTCAGTGATGCCCTTAGTCTATAGTACTTAGGGGTGATAGCAATACTTACCTCTTAGAGTCATAGGTGCGAGAACATTCTTGAGGGAATCCTAAAAATCGTTACTTGACTTTCTAGATGGCTTTTTTATTCCAGTCTTCATTTTCGCAAGTAGAGCGATAAGGCCTAATTAGAATGCTCGTGCTTCACAGGGAGATATGGTAGTGCAGGTGACGTCAATCATAAAGGGAATTTCATATCTCGAAAGGAACACTTTACTTTGTTAATGTGTTACCTTGTTAACCTTTTAGCGGTGAATACATAACAACACACTGCATCCCTCACCTAGATCATAATCGTTGTAAGATTGTTATTTCACAGTGGGAAGACTTCTCTGAGATATTGAAAAAGCTATCGAAGAGTTCGGCCTAGTCGAAGCGCTGTTTTTTAAGGCGTTTTTCTAATGTTCGTCAGGCAATCTGTTGAGTTTCTCATAATTGTTGAATCAGAATGTGAGTGCGGATGCGGGTGTGTGTGCGGTGGTGGTGGTTTGACGAACAAAGAACGTTGACGCGTTGAGGGGATTGAATGAGAATGAGTTCTCATGCGGCTAAACCCCTCTCCTAAAACCGTTATCTAGTCGCGCAGGATGTGACGCGACATTACCCTCACCAAGAGGTATTGCTTCCTCATGAGTGCTAATGTTTAGAATGCCTTTGTCTTTTTCACCAATACACGACACCAGCTCATATGATTTCTCGTCTTCCATCTGTCAATCAACACAACCGCTTTATCTAAGTGCTAACTTACCAATTCTGTGTGACACTATCTATGTCTACTATTACACTTTACTCCTTTCTAGAGCATATATTGTGATGGACATTTCACAGTGAGACTAAGAGAAAGTTAAGCACACCATCGTACTAAACGAAAACAAACAAGACTTTGTGAAATCTCCTGAGTGCAGTTGTTCTGTGACATCTTAGTTTTGAACAAGTACACAGATTTTCCTATGTTTCGATAATTTCAAATAATAAGTACTGGTTTAGAAGCACAGTACGTTTTGAAGATAAATAAGAAAATGCCGATGCCGCATGCTCACCTCGTGAAATTATCGTAACAAAAGGCAATACCCTGCGCAACAAAATAAACCACAGAAAGGAATATGGTTACGTATTAGTTCATAAGGATTAGTCCTTCTCCATCACCCAGTATGAGTCGAAATCAATTCACATGTTCAAGAATGCTTTGTAGACCATCATTTTGTCGGTGGAAAATCGTACGCAGGTTTTTTGGTCATAAATGGGAGCGAACAGGGTTGAGTACGAATGAGTCATTGATTTCACTATCTCCTCAAGGTGTTATAAGGTAGTCATAGACTTTAACTAGACTTTTGTTCATAATTGAAAAATTGTCTTAGCGTTTCTCATGTTAGAAACTTGGGTACTATGGTGATTATTCAGCTCTCAGCT